GTGTGTTGTTACTGAACAATGGTTCTACACATTGTGATGTTGATACTAGTAGGTTTGTTATTGAAGTGGGTGTTATTTCTGCACATGGCACCAGTATTGGTGGGTTTATTGTTACTGAAGTCGATGTTGATTCTCCACATGATGCCAATTTTACTGATACTACCGGCTTTAGAAATGCTGTTAAAACTGCCTGTGAAGTTTTTTGCTTCTTTGGATGATCCACTTATCCAAAAAAGTAGACAAAAATACTGGCAACATTTTGTGCTGTGGATAATTTAAGAAAAGGTATGTGCATAAAGCTATAAAAGTAATTATTAGGTTTAACACATCTTGGTAGGACTAAGTCTTATAGTAGGTATATATTTGAACTCTAGGACTTTAGTACAGGTCATAAGTTGCTAATTATTAATTGTGATTTAATATCCTACATGGTACCTATAAGGCATTGTACTTTTCCTTTATGTTGTCTAGCCAATAACATTTTCTGGTGTGGTCTTGGAGTGTTTTCAACTGCTATGGTAATAAATATTGAAAAAAACATGGACAGAGTGCAGTCAAATTTAGGAGTATGAAAACAAAACCATTATTTACACTCTTCCAAAATAGCTAATTTACATAAAATATAAAGATAATCATAAACTTTGTTTAAAATTTGGTGGGTCTAGCAGTTCATTGCATTGTAATATTACATAAATAGAATCATATAACAGGTTAAAAATTGATCTATAGAAGGAAAGAACTCACTGAGAGTAAAATGACAGTAAATGGCTTTCTTCAAGTGATATAACCCTCTCTGCCCAGGCATCTTTTACTGCACATGTAACAAGGGATTTAAGGAGTTACATTCAAAATTTAATTAAACTTCTTTTTGTTTATGTTATACCAATTACTATAGCATAAAATTGTAGTTAATAAGCCATATTTTAATAGTGTATAAATTTCTAAGTTCTCAATTTTATAAGGCAATATTTAAAAAAATCCTGAATTTCCCCTAGTGTGAGAATTGTAACATTGTTTCTTTAAGCATCCCGTCTTCTCTAATTTAGTAACCACCCCTCCAGTAAGTATGAAATTTAATGTAAATTACTCACTATAATATCATCATTGCTCAGAAAAAAGGTAATTTTTTATTAGTTTTCAATCTTGTTTCAATCTTTCTACCTGTCACATCCTCTCTTTCAGAATTTGTCAGTAGTTCTCTCTTACATTTATAACTATATTAATTATAACCACTAGTAAGCCAAGGTTTTCATCTATCAAATGACATATTATATTACGTTGTTTTCTGCACAAAGAAATGTAAATTATTTCTGAGAAAATGTTTTGGTTCTCACGGAAATGCTATTAAGTAGTTGGATGAAGTTTTAAAGTTTTTTTTTGCAGAGATAGAAAGCGACAAAAATGGTGATAGTTAAGGGACATTATCTGTTTTTTGCATGTTATTATTCTATGTTCTTTGTTGCATTATTTTATTAGATAAAAGTTATTTAGTGCACTACTACCAAATTTTGTGAAGATACACTTAATATATTAAAAGTTTCTAGTATCTAAACTATAACAAATACAAAATGTTCACTTGGTTGGTCCAATCAATCAAGCCTGTGTTGAGAGAGGTAATTATATTTGTATGTATCAAATCAGGTACATATGAGGATATGTAGGTGTAGCTGTATATATACAATTATATTTATACATAAAATGATTTTGTGTAAACGTGTCAGTAAGTTGCCAATTAAATATTTAAAACAACATTCAATTCCATTGCATGATTCATATGTATATGCTAATTGCTGAATGCATAGTAAAGTGTTTAAAAATGACTCATGATAATCATACTACCATGCATTTCTTTTATAGGCACTAATTACATTTACAACTGATTATATATAACATTGGTAACTAATGTCACAGCTCAAATGTATAACCCATTAAACTGTCAAACCTATATTATGCAAATATTGTGAATTGAATGCATACAGGTACTATTATTCTGCTTTTTGTTGATTACTCTCTCTATACAATTATGTGGTATAAAAATATAAATGCAGATGATCCAAAACATTTGTCAGTAATAATGATTTACCCTTCTTTTTCCATAAAAACTGTTTAAATTCTACAAAATGTACTTAGAGCGTAGGAAAGAAATATTGTTTTTGAGTCTTCTATAAACACGCATGGACATATGTAATGATCTGACTGTTTAGTGAAATATATGTTTTTTAAAAAATTACATTCATATTGGAAATTAAAGCTATGTCTGTATAAAGAAATTTTATTCAAATTGAAATAATCAAATGACCCAAATAATAAACATAGAAAATTTGTTAAAAGAAGTATCAATAAGTGTGATAAATAATTTTAAGTTTGCACACTAAGGGTTACTGATCAGACTAACCTTAAGCCAATCAAGAGAACTTTTTATACAAATATTTAAGTTACTCAGAAAACAAATATTTAAAATTTTCTCATAGACTAGCCTACCCAGGTGCAGATAAATAGTATTTTCAGTGTGGAATATAACTTTCTGTTTAAAATTACCTTCATTGGCACATAGGCAATTTATTCACCTTCCACTTATGAAGAAATTATTGGGGTCAACCCCCGATGCCCCCCCCCCCAAAGGTTTAGAAAAAGTTTGGCAGCAATGCTATGGATATTCCCGGCATCAACACATGCCTTCACCACCACAACTGAAAATGTTTATACAGTGTTTGTCTTGCCAACAATTAAATAATGGATTTTCATGTATGCTCTTGATGTGGACCAAGCTATTATAATTAGAGCATTTTTATCAGTGAAAACCTGCACGTTTATGAATATTTCAGCTTCAACTCGAACCTCTTCATCACCAGCATCAATGAAAACATTGGGTGCACCATGTTTTCCTTTGACTTTGGTGTAAGTGAAAACGGTAGTTTTACCTTATACATATCTTAATATTCTGCCTAGATATATGATTTGCTTGATGATTATACTGTCTATATATGTATTGATGTGTGTAGTGTAACAGACACTAACAAATATACTATGTGTGTATAAAATTGTTACATATTACATAACATTCGACACTACGGGTTGAAAATGGCACATATATGGTAAAAAATGTTTTTACCATCATGAATGTATTTCAATCCATAGCCAAGCTATCTGCTACAGTGCATTACCGCTCTCTGTAAGTCAGAAAAAATAAAAGATGTAATCAAAGTATATGCACAAAAAAAATTAAGTCACAGGGAAAATTCAGTAAAAGTGGTATTCTGTACTGTAATTCACATCACTTGGATCACAATTTGTGTCATCAACTACACAATGATAATATATTAACATACACATAGTCCACTACAGGACTAATACAGTAAGAAGAAATAAAGCACACTTATTTTATTAGGTGACTTTCAGTACATGTAGCAGCACCATATATGGATTGAGAAATCCACTATTGTCAACATTACAAGACAAATAACCAGTTAAACAAGTAATTTTCCACTAGGATTTATCACTGTCCAAATTATCTCTTGTATTGTGTAAGAGAACAATCACCTCACTGTATACGTGAAGGTAGATACAGAACTTTCATACCTTAGGTATGACATAAAATTTCATACACATACAAGTGGTCTGTGGAAGATTCTCAGACAAATATCTGCAATTAGTCACCACAATGTTTCATTTGATTGTTTAGAAAGAAAGGGTTGCAAGTCTTTTCAGTTTTCCGTTGTATCAGATAGCAGTTTTAATCAGCCATCACAGATGGTAATACTCTAGGTACTGTATATAATATCACCAGCTGTCATAGCTGTTGTGATAGGTAGCTATCACAAGGTAGTATGCAGATATTTGACAATGAAATTCTATGTGATAGCACTGAAATTAAAGGGCACAACTCTTTTGGTCATTGGAACTTTCATCTATTTTAATTGCTGATATCTTACCATTGTCCTTCTAACTGTCATGACTATCACAAATCTTACACAATAGCTTTGAGTGTAAAGGATGTTAATCCTTTTGACATTTTGATATAACATTTGTGCTGTAACCTGTGTTCTCAAAGCCAACCTAATGGCTTATTGATTTCACTCACACTAAGTTAAAGGTTGATGTAATATCTGTGACTGATATCCTAAACAGCTTGTCCTTCTCTGACTCAACTTGAACAGCCAGAGAAGTGCATGTAGCGTGTGTGGGGTCAATTCAAATTGCATTGGTCATTGAGAAACTATACATCTTGCAGTTCTTGCAACCCTTGAGGGTATTTTTCCTTTATTAGGCAATATCTTGCAATTGCTTATGAAACTTATCTTCAGATTTTTTGTTGATACCTACTCTTATTAAATAGTTCACACTATCAGTGAACTTTCAAACTAAACCTTGCAAATGTTTTGCATCTTATTTGTACCATAAAGCAAAAAGAAATATTGGAAAATTCCAGATCATTCCTGTAAGCCTAATCTTGGCCAAGAAATTACCTAGAACAGTTGTTCTCAAACTATAGTAATCCAAAGACCCTTTTTAATTTAAAATATTTTTGTAGACACCCAAAGCTACTGATGTTCTTTTGTTTTTCTTTTTTTGAAAATAAGAGTCCGTTTACATGAAAAGTTGTTTTTCAAAATTAAATGTTTTAACTTGTATAAATTTAATTGAATTTTTTATTCTATAAATCATGATTTTTTAAAATATTTCTGATGAGGTTTCAAACATGGCTTACAGACCCCAGTTTGAAAAACTGAGAAATGCTGATCTAGAATGCTCTTAGCAGTTAGATGACTGAAAAGGTTTGATTACAAGGTAAAAGTATTACATATAAAGTATGTTTTCTGGTGGTGACTGATGAGTGTTTATGTTACATTTGTATCTGCAGACTATAAGCCTAATCTGTTGCATGTTGTGTGTAGAAAATGTTTTGTTAAAATAATAAATAGTGTTCTATGAAGAAAAAAATTATTTAGCGAATACAAGTCATTAAATAAGACACAGCCTTAATTCCAAAACTCATCCAGGTTGCAGAAACATGTCAGTTGGCTGTAAAGAGAATTCAGTGGCTTTTGGATTCAGCTCAGAAGGAAGGACAAAATGAACACAGTATGTACTGTTCAGTTGATCCAGCACCCCCAGATGTGACAGAAAATGTGAAACTCTTGCGTAGAAAACTCCTTGATGAATCATTACCTCTTTTTGAACGGTACAGAGCTCTGTTTTCTCTAAGAAACGTTGGAAGTAGAGAAGCAGTACTGAGTTTAGCAGAAGGTACTAGGTTTGTTTAGTTTGTGATTTAGGAATTTATTTTAAAAGTAAATGTTCAGTTTATTTTTTAAGCAGTTAATCTTTCTTTTATGTAATAAGTACTTTGCTGCAATTTTTGGACTAAATTTACAAACATAAGTTTCTGATAGCTCCAATCATATGGATAGCTATTCTCATTTGCTGCCCTCTACATTCGAACTATTTTTCGCATACCACAAGTTTTGAACTCCCATGTACACCACAATCAACATGGTTCAACTGTGTGTCTCATGTAAATCATCATGTGACAACCCTCCACCAATAGAAGTGCAAAACACCCTCCTGACACGTGACTCCTTCTATTCGATTCTACTGAACTATCACTTCTCTTTAGACAGTGATCGAATGCAAACGTTTTTCAACTGCCCTCTTTTTTTTAACGCGGTCATTTAATTTTTTTTGTGTGTGAAGTAGTGATTTATTTCTTTTATTCATTTACTACAGTTAGTTTTCTCTAGTAGTTTGCTGCAATAACTTACATTTGTATATTGATTTTTCTTTTCATTTTAGACTTCTTCACAGTTGAAAATAAATTCCAAAGTTTGTGTTTTACAACTTCTGATATTTTTGCCATTACACATGCTTCAGGTCTGGGGGTCTCAACTGAGGATTTTTCGATTATCATTCGTTGGGAGATTGATTATTATGTGAGTCATCCTTTTTTCTCCCAAAAATGTTCGGGTTCATCTTTCATCATCTGAACCTGTTCATGACGAGGATGTGTGTGTCAACTTTTTTCGTCCTCCTAACTATGCCATGCATTCCCACAGAATCTGCCTTTTTGGATATGCTCTCTCGGGTGTGTTTCATTTTCTCCTTTTCACTAATTTCTTATAATGCTTTCCCTTCCTTGGTACATGACACCCATCTTTGGAGTACCTTGTTTTCCTTCCTTTCCCTGAAATCATGGTTCATGCTGAGCACTTCGTTTCTCAGTTGAGCATACCTTGTTTTCCATGAGCTTATGAGCATTATGCTTTGGTTTATCAGCAGACTGTTCAACCCCATCTCGACTCCCAGCAGTTGGAGTCACATTTGCCAATATGGGGGGGGGGGGGCTGGTCATGGAAAATCCTATCCATTTATCCCATGTCTAGTTTCCCACTTTTGTCTTACACTTACAACTCTCCTACACTACTTGTAAAATATACATCTCCTTTCTGAGGCACTCCACCATTTCTTTGAGGGTTTTTGGGGATACACTTTTCCTCCTTACCTCCATGTTGGTGCAATTGTCCTATTCAGCCCTATCCCTTCACACTTGGTTTCGTTGCTGTGTAGATCTTATTGGGAAGAATGCTGACTTGTCACAGGTTCCTCTAACTTTCACTTATCCTAGTGACTTACAGATGGTTTCTTTTCACCATCATTGTGTTTTTGAAGATTTTCCTAAATGTTTGGAATCGTGTGAAATTTGTGAAACTACTTTCGACCCTTTAGTCTATGGTTACTTGTTTGTCTCATTCTGACCCCATGACTTCTCCCATAATTATTTCTTGTGCTGCAACTTCCCGTCATTTACCAGTTCCTACCACTATGGGTTCAAAATTTTGCCGTGTGTATCAACGTAAGGTTCATCGTCACCAGCAGTTCCAGTGTTTATCAGGTCTTTACCTTTCCTGTGGGTACACGTTTGGCCTATTTTTCCTCTGTAGAGAATATTCACTACCAATTCTTGGGTGATCCAAGTTTTATCAGGACATTTCATCTGTTTCCTTTCCTTAACAACATTATCTCCTGTATTGATTTCCTTCCCATTAACTTGGGATCCCACTACCAGTCAGTGTATATCTGAGGCTATATCACAGAGATATATCGGACATGTCAGCCAGCCTTCTCCAGGCTTTTTGTTGTCGCCAAAACAAATCTGGGGACTAGCATCCTGTGATCCTTCTGACCTGCCTCAACCAATTTCTGGACCTTTCCTGATTTACTGTGAAGTCCTTTATCACACTCAGGTGGATCTTTTCTCCAGGACTGTGGATGACCGTAACAATCATCTCAAATGCCTATCTCCATATTCCTATTTTTCGTCAGTTCAGATGCAATCTTCAGTTTATCCACTACAGACTTGTGTCTATCAGTTTCATGCTTTGCCTTTTGGGCTTGATTCAGAACTGTATGTATTTTATTGAGTGATCAAGGTCTTTGCCCAACATATGCTTGCTCGAGAGTTACATTCACACCACTACATGATCGATTGGTTTCTGTTAGCTCATTCCAAACTGGAGTCTTCTCAATACATCCATCTGCTGCTGATATGTGCAGATCATGTTGGTTGGATTCTAAAGTTGGAGAAGTCTTTCCTTTTGTATACCCAATATCTTTTCCACTTGGGTGTATTTTTCAACAGCCACCTCATTTGGGCTAAACCTTCCCCACTTCATCTTCATTCAAAGGAGCTTTCAGTTCTCTGTGCACTTCCTGCTCCCTCTGTTTCGGCACACAGGGTTTTGTTGTTTTTGGAGACTTGGGATTCTCTGGAAGCCCTTATTTCTTTGGGTTGGGCATTTATACATTCTCTTCAGTGGACTGTGAATGGCCAATGGGCTCTTGCTTGAGATCCCTTGAACTCCCAATATTACCCTTTCTCCCTCCCTTACAGACAATCTGCATTAGTGGTTGAACAAAGACAACACAGTGATGGGAGTACTGCTTCCTCCACCTTGTCCAGATTTGCATCTGCTCATAGATGCTTCTCTCTAACATTGGGAGTGTGGGTACATCAGCATTAGGCTTCCAGACAATGGTCTCAGATCAGAATGTCTTGCCATATCAACATCTAGGAGCTTCTGGTGGAATGACATGCTTTGGTTCATTTTCTTCCTCTGGTACTGAACGAACATGTCATGGTACATTATAACAATTCCACCATTGTGGCCTATGTAAATCACTAAGGGGCACTAGTTCCTGTTTCTTTTATCGTCAAACTTTAGAACTCCTTTATTTGGCCTACACACTGCAGATAAGTCTCCTTGTGTGTTATGTTATGGGTGCTTTTCACATTGTGGCAGATAGTTTTTCAAGACCCAACCAGCTTTATCCCACAGAGTTGTCTCTCGACCCTTAGGTTTTCAGGTGGTTATGCAATCAGTGGAGAACTCCTCATCTGTATGCTTTTGCCAATTTATTCCAACACCAAGTTACCTCTTTTTTTGGTCTCTGGTTCCTCATTCTCAGGTCCTGGCGGTGGATGTTTTCCATCAGGACTGGAACAACAACTACCTTTTATGTTCCTTCCAGTTTCATAGATCTTTTTGTCATGTGGTTCTTCTGGATTGTCCTGTCAATATTGTTCTTCAGTGATTTCCACTCCCTCTGTTTGTCCTCTTCTCCTATGTTTTGCCTATCTGTTGAGACTTATTATTATTTTTAGTCTGTGGGTGCCATCGGTCTGATATATTTGCCATCAACATTTCACCTACTTTTTTACTGTTTCACATATGTTCTACATTATCCGGATCGATCTTTCCTACTCTAAACATTGGCAGCTCACGAGGGACATTCTTCCTTCTTGCTGATTTCACTTCCATCCATTTCCCACCTTTATTCCCAGTCTCATCTTGATAGAATTCTATGTCTACCATGAGCTCTTCATTGTTATATGGCCTGCATGCCTCCTTTAGTGGTTCTTATTCCCACTTTTTCATTCTCTGGCACCATGCATTTGTACATGTCCTTTCTCCTTCTACCCTTTCAAGTTGGGTTCGTCAACTGATTCGATTGGTCTATTTATTCCTATCTCTTTCTTCCCGAATTTTGTTCCATGTGTCATTGCATCAGACCAGACACCTTATTTTTTCCTAGCATCTCACCTTCACCATCCATTGGATAATATTCAATATTCTACAATCAGGAAAGTGGACTACACCTCATACATTCATCTCCCACTACCCCTTCATTGGGTAGCTATTTCTTCTATGTTGGAGTATCACCGTCAGCCTGTCACCATCCTTCAAACTTCACTGCGGCTGTGACTGGGTAAGTTATATATTTATCTTTCCTCCAGTGGCATGTCCCATTTAGGGTGAGGATCCAGCTCAGTGGTGAGCAATGCCTGTCCAGGTATGCTTCCAATCTCTCAAATCCACACCATACAGCCAAGATATATAACCACAACCAATCACACACACCATTGAGATGAGGTGTTCATAAGATTGCTAGTAGATTTTCCTTGGGATATATTTGTTTCATAATTATGCCCATTCCAAACTTATATGGGTAAAGCAGAAGGGGATAGATGCCCATCCCTGCCATCCCCTCAATTGAATAAATCAGGGATGGTCTACTTTTCAAAATAAGGTTCGTAGTGGTCACCCGTTGCACTATCTCCAGTGTCGGCATTCCTCTGGACTTTCCACTGCATTTTGCCTAATTTTGTTTTTCTAGTGGAGTATGGGAGTCTTTGCTAATTTCTAGTTCAGTTGAGAGTACCATTGGTGGTATTCTGCTGGGATTCATGGAGGTTGATGTTGTGCCTGTTTCTGTGTTTCTAACAGGAAGGTGCAGTTGGTTTTATTTTCCATGCAGTAGGACCCAAAAGGTGGCTTTGAGCTCCAACGTTTGTGCAGTCCTATACAGGGGATGATGATGTGCATATCAACAAATAAATACACACTATCTGTATGTGGTGGGTCCCAGAGGTTGATGTTGTGCACAGCTTCTGTGTGGTTCCATCTGGATGGTGTAGTTGCTTATATTTTATAGATGCGATCCATTTCCATACAGTGGGCTCCAGAGGTTGCAATTGCACTCCAGCCTTTTTGCTGTCATATCCAGAGGATGATTTTGCTTTGGAGTAGATCTATCACATTTCAGTTCACCCTTTCGATTGGGAGCTCTCATCCTACTATCACCTGGATATTGGCTCCCAGTGAGTGTTTCTAGATTCAAGATGGATCAAGGAACTTAAATCCTCACACATGTTGGTTGAGTTCTTCTTCCTCACTCAATTTGCCTCATGATCTCTACCTCCATGCAGTGGGTCCTGGAGGTTGGTGTTGTGTCCAGCCTCTCTGCGATTCTGTCTGGAGGGTGAAGTTGCTATAAATTTTTAAAAATGATCCACTTCCACGCATTGGGACCCTGATGGTGGTGTTGCACTCTAGCTTCTGTGCATCCTACCTGGAGGATAATGTTGACTGGGGCAACAGTTTTCCTTCTCATGTTCCACCTCGGGGAGTTTTCACTGCCTAAGGCTGATGTTGTGCAGTGGGGGTTTCCATCTGATTGAGTTTGATGTGACCTGCCACATTGGCACATTTCTTCCAACTGTTATTTGGATGTTGGTTCAATGTATGTAGTGTTGTTTGTAGATTTGTGCATGTGTCCATTTGGAAGATCGGTTTGCACAGTATATAGTTGTGTTCTAATAATGGCTGGAGATGGCTTAAATGGGTAATGAAGAAAACTATATATTATATATATATATATTATTTACTTATTACTACTTAACTTACGTACTCGTCTCGTACGTACGACGACGTAGTACGTACGTACGACGTACG